TTTTTATTAAACATTTTGAACAAATGTACAAAATCACGTGGTCTGTAAATACATGAAGTCAAGGCCAAAAAAAAAATCAAATAAAATGAAGACAAGGGGGCATTATGTTAGACGTTTATCTAGGCTTTTATTTAAAATATTGTCCTGCACCTCCGGGCAAGCCGTCAAACCTTCTTCGTCTTTAAACTCTGAAAAAGAAAATGCTAAGTGGAACTGGCGAAATCCTAAAGTTTGTTTGTTTGTTTGTTGTTTTTTTCCCCCAATAAATTCTGGTGACAGGAAAGGGGAATCGGCTTTGTTTTCAGTTTTTCCGTTATTGATTTGTAAATGGAAACACGGAAGTAGTTTCCGTTTTTGGTTTTTCAAGAGAGAGAAAACGAGTTGCCTGAAAGAACACGGACCTTCTTCCCTCCACCTCTCTATCTGAGCTCCTTTAATAGTTCCTGTGTTTGATCTGCTGATTTCTGATCAGACTTTGACAGATATGTGGATCAGACATTTAGCAAACTACGGAACAGATCACTTCCTTATTGGTTCAACACGAGATCAAAGGTTTACCTGAGAAATAAAAGTCTGACCCTCCTGTCTGCGGTGGAGGAACATATTTCACTTTAAGCCAAAGAAAAGTTTCAAACCGATCCTAAAGTGTTTAGCAGAAAGTGTCATTACTCACCCTGCTGACTGTCTGGATGTCTGCGACTTAAAATGGAGTCAGAAGGAAAATAACTGAAATACTTTCAGTTTCACCTGATCTCATGATTGGCTGTTAAACTAACGTCCTTAAACAGGATGACAATGAAACGTTTCCTGCAATAAAAGGAGCAGGAAGAACAATTCTCACTGACTTCAGCCTCATTCATGTTTTAAAATCTATAAATCCAATCAGTCATTTTTTTCTATGTCTGTGAAAATACACATATAGATAAACACAATGTTGTTAATATGCTGAGGATGTTTGCAAACCTAGGAAACCAAGTCAAGTGGATTATTTTTAAACTTTTACGGAATGTTGTTAATATTTTCCTACATCATCCTCAATTGTACTTTTTTATCTTCCCTTTTCCTTTCTTTTCTTTCTATTCTCTTTTTTCTTTTAGATTTTTACACCTCCTTTTTCATGAACGATTTTGTTTATATTTATAATTAAGCTGAATATAAGCTGAATAAATATGAATATTTAAACATTACTTTAAATCTTCTCCAGTTTTCCACTTCAGCCACAGAAACATGTGTTTTAGTTTGATTTTAACAAAAAGATATTTAAAGTCATTATTTCTTCTGCTAGTTTCTCAGGTTGCAGTGAAAATGTTTGCAGACCAGCTGGTCAGAGGCCAAACTTTGCTCTCTGCTAAACTCAGAGTGTTTGTAGAACCATCAGCTCCTTCAATCCTCTTGATTTCATAAACAGTCCTGATGCTCTTTTGGAGCAGAGCAATTAATAATTATTATCCTCCTCTTTTTTTTTTACAATGAATAAAGACATCAATGCTTTGTTTTAATGATTTTTAATGATTGCTGTAAAGGAAGAAAATATTCTAACATAGTTAACTTTGGAAAAAGATTGGCTTCTGATTCTTCCCTTCCCCAGGTCCACTCGGCGAGCTGCGTTTGGTAATAAAACCAACATTGCGTGTTGACGTCACAGAATTACAGAGTTTAATCCAATATAAGACAATGCATACACTTTAGAAATAAGACAATGCACAAACCTACACCAGAAACTGCAGAACAACAGAGACATACATTCCATTACCTGACATAGGAGGAAAGAAAGCAAAGAGTACAGAGACATCTTTGGAGAGTTGCAAGGGCAAATCTGATCTTTTTCTTCTATTTAGAAAGCTTTATCCTCTTGTATCTAATCCATTCAAAAAGGGGCTGGCCCTCGGTCCTCCAACCAAACGCCATCTCTGACACTGCTAGGGCTTCCCCTTATTTACTGCAAACATCTGGGGTCATTTGCTTCTTTGTTTTAACAAGAAAAGGCGGAAAGCTTGTCCTGGCATCTAGAATTCCTAAAGTCATAAAACACAAGATAAGCTCTCACAGACAGCTTGTGGAATGCGGGGGGCCTCACCATCCCTGGTTGTTTATTCTGGAAGACTTTTGACCTTCTGTAAACCAAGCAGAAATCTCTCCTGCAGGCTTAACTGTTATTCACCCCCCAGGAGATACTCATTTTAAGGCCTCCTGTGCTTTGAATACTTACCCATTAGTAGTTTTAAATCATTAACACAGCCTTGTTCAAAATTAAGAAATATGTTCAAGTGAGAGTGTTTACACATGCCATAAGATTAACTGTAATAAAGTCTAAAAAATAATCATTTTTCTTTAACATTGCCTATTTTTAATAAAGCATGATTGTAGATGCATAATTTCTTGCTCAACAGATCTCATATTGATATTAATTTCTGACAGAAAGAAATGAGTAACATATGCAAAGAGAACAAACCACAGTGTCTGTGATTCATCCTTGAGTTCATTTAATAAAAAGTTTAGTCACTAACACTGAGCCCTGAGACACCCCACCTAGAATTATACTTAATTTTATTGTCATGGTGACTCACATATTCGGTGTTTATTGCTGTCTAGTTTCTAAATATCTAGTGACCCTGTTTAGCTCTAAACCTCTTATTCCATACCTTTGCTGTGATCGGGACAATCTAAACCTTTTTTCAAGTCTATCACTCCAACTGAGTTTTATTTAATCATTTTTGAAGAGAACAGCCGTTTTAACGTGCATGTCTTATATTTATTTTGTTTCAGAACAGTTCAATATAACTGCAGTACTCATAAGACACAGCAGATGGCAGCAAAACAGCCTCTCCAGTAATAATCATTGAACAAATTCCTTCATATTTCAACTTTTATGTCATTTCTTTCATCTGTGATATTTATTAGTGCCAAATCTGTTGAGCGAAAACTTCTAAAACCAAACTGATTTTCATTCAAATGAAAATATATTTATATAAAAGAATCAATTTTAACAAAACATTTGTCAAAGATTTCTGAAAACAGAGAGCAAAGATATAGACCTGTAATTATTAAGATTGAACTTATTACCCTATTTGAAAAGATGGATAATCTTTTTATTTATTCAGGAAATAAACACTGTTATAGATTTCACCAAAGTAATGGGTTTCCTTTCCAACTATCATTAATATACGATGGAATAGATTCAGACTAACATTATGGTAAATGGTATGTACTTATATAGCACCTTTTTTCAAGTCAGGAGAGTTGACCAAAGTGCTTTACACTACATTCATTCACCCATTCATGCACACACTCACACACTGATGGTGGCAAGCTACATTGTAACCACAGATGCCCTGTGCCCAAGGACACAACAACAATGAAAGTCGGAAACGGGGCTTGAACTGTCAATCCTTCGATTTCAGGGCAAACTCCTACATCCAACGCCACTGTCGCCCTATCATTAATTAAAAAATAGAATTAATCTCAACATTTTGCTCATTAATCAAGAAGGATGTTTGACTAAGAATTACTGTCGATAACATCTCTGAACACTTTCAACATTCCTTTCATATCGTCTTTTCTTTCAAAAAATAAATTTATGTAATAATCTTTATTTGTATGTCTGATTATTTTTATAGGCTTTGTATCATTTTTCATATTTTTTGAATGATATTTTATTTTATATTTTAGTCTTGATTCAATTTAATTTAATGAAGTTTATTTATATGTCACTTTTTCACAACATGTCATCTCAGGGCCCTTTATAGAGACAATTCAACCTCATCATCCAGTCAGATTAGTTCAAAGTTTTCTATCTAAGAAAAACCAGCTGATTGCATCGACTCATTGACTCTTCAGCAATCCCTCACACTAAGCATGCTTGTAGCGACAGTGGAGAGGAAAAACTCCCTTTGAACAGGAAGAAACCTCCAGCAGAACCAGGCTCAGTGTGAGCGGCCATCTGCTGAGACCCACTGGGGTTCAAGGAGACAGAAGCAGACATAGAAAAAGAAGCACAGATACAAAAGGCAACTGTCAACCAGCTCCACAGGCGGCCCCGTCCAGGAAACACACAGCCAGGCAGACGAGCTCCGAGCCAGCTCCCATGTCAGAGGATGAAGGGAGCACATCCAGTTAGTCACAGTCAGAGAAACAGGACTACACTGGAAAACAGGCCAAGCTCCAACACCTAGAAACAAAGGTGTTGATGGCAGCAGCACAGCTGATATTTCTCTCCAGGATGGAGTCACAGCCAAACAGGAACAGACCAGATGAAGCTACTATGAGAAAAAGCAGAGAGAGCAGAACGTTAGAGATTGAACTAACAGATTCTGCAGAGTGGGAGAATATAGAGAGAATGAAGCAGAATGATGAAAAAGGGGTCCCTATGTCCTCCAGCAGTCTAAGCCTATAGCAGCATAACTATAGAGATAGATCAGGATAACCTGAGCCACTCTAACTAGAAGCTTTATCAAAAAGGAAAGTTTTAAGCCTAGCCTTAAAAGTAGACAGGGTGTCTGCCTCACGGACTAAAACTGGTAGTTGGTTCCACAGGAGAGGAGCCTGAGAACTAAAAGATCTGCCTCCCATTCTACTTTAGAAATTCTAGGAACCACTAGTAAACCTGCAGATTGAGAGCGAAGTGCTCTGTTAGGAACATAAGGAACAATCAGATGTCTGATATCAGATGGAGCTTGGCCATTTAAGGCTTTATATGTGAGAAGGAGGATTTTAAATTCTATTCTGGATTTAGCAGGAAGCCAATGAAGAGAGGCCAGGATAGGAGAGATATGATCTCTCTTTTTCATTTTCATCAGAACTCATATAGATTATGTATACCAATTGTGACAGTAAATCCATTTAATTATTACACGCTGTATCTTTAAAAATCTGCTTTATTGCCTGCAAAGGTTTTTATTTTGAAGGTTTATTTTCATGTTGATTTTTTTTCTCATCAAATAATACTGATCTCTAGGTTTTCTGTTTTCCTTGATGTTTCCATTTTGATGAATTATTTTCTGATCCAGTAATGGCTTCTTGAACTGTGTGGGTGATCATTGGTCAGGTAGCCTATGGGCGGGTTTCTGAGCTGATTGCTGGCCAATCAGAGGCCGCCTCTGTTGTTAAATGGTCTGTTTGTTTTCCTCAGCAGGTGACCCTCACACAGTGTTTGAACTGACCTCCTGGTACAGAGCTGCTCTTTTTTCCACCTCTCTGACCTACAGACTTCATGATGGCTCCTCTCTCCATCCAGTCTGGGCTGAACTACGCCAAAACGCTGCTGCCAGAAACTCTGAAGAGGTGAGGAGGGCAAAGGGCTGAGAAATGTTTCCTCCAGAATCAGAGAGGGAAGGTTTTAGTTTAAAGCTTGGTTGGTATTTTGAGAAGAGTTTAGTTTTAGCTTAGGTAAGCTGGGCTTAAATGTAGTTTGGTTTGTTTGAAATCCTGCAGAAATTCATTTTCTCAACAAAAAATATTTCAATCTATCCAATCAAATCTCCTTATAATTCAGTAAGTTTGCTGCCATCTCATCATTTCTGTAGGCTTGATTAAAAACTATTCACACCAATGGTTCATTTTAACTTTTAGTTTTCTGTCTACTAAAAGTTATGTTCTGGAATAAAAGTATTTTGTTTCTGTGCATTTTAGTAAAAAAAATTTGAAAAAATATTTATTCCTTTTTTCAATGATAAAGGAAAATCCTGTTCCCCTCCTTATCTTTGGTCCAGCATTACTTTCCATGTTTCTTCTGGTATTTTGATTAATTTTCTTTACCTTTAAATCTTAGAGGTTGGAAGGCCTCCTGACCATCACCCTAATCTAAAACATTAACATTAATTCCTGGCAGAGGAACATTGGTCCAAATAAATCAATGCTATAAATCTGCTGACGGTGTGAATAATTTTAACAGAACAGCAAGTAAACATTAAAGAGTCAATAGTTAAAGATCTTAAATAAAATGTTTTACTGTATTTGTCTGAAAATAAAGCAAGAATTTCATTTCATATAAAACAAAATTTAGAGTCTTTGTTTTAAAATTTGGATCTTCGAAATAATTTGTAGTTTGTTTCAGAAAGTTTCCTATAATCTGTTTCTAAGTTAGACTTTGTTTGTGAAACTGCAGCTTGATTTTATTCTCCAGGGGAAAGTTTGATAAGGCATCATTATTCCTGGACTCTGCAGACATGCAGACTGGAGCTCAGAGATTATCCACCCAGAATTCTTCCAGTAAACATTCAGGTCTCTGCTCTGGTTTAAAACTGGATCACTCAGAGTGATTTGGGGATTTTCTTTTAGCTAAACATGTTTTTATAAAGATCAAATAGTTAATCAGAGAATAATGAAGTCTCCTGGTTTGGGTCCATCAGAGTGATGGAGTTCTGGTTCTGATCAGATCTGGATTAATCTGAATATTTCCCTAAAAGGTTTCCAGTTTAAGATGCTATAAACGGACCAGAGCTCCTGCAGAAAATAGTCCAAACGACTCGCTGACATCTGCATTATATGTAGCTGTTAGTGAGCAGCTGACCTCAGCTCTGCTCCTGCAGCAGCAGCCGACCTTTTCAACCCACTGATCCGTTTCATAAACTGTGTGGAAATCCAAGCCATTGTTGCAGCAGCTTTCAGCTCATTAAAGCCTCTTTGGGTCAGAGCAGGAAACGGGCTGCAGAACCTCTCTGTGAAATCTGGACCAGCCTTGATTTGATCAACGGTTCTGCTGCTTCTGTTCAGGACAGAATGAATGTTTATCATCTATTTTCCTGAATGCATCTGATGCGGATCTGTGATGGATTCATTATTTCATTTTCATTTCATTATTTATTAGTTAAATTTTTCATCAGAATCTTCTCTAAAGAAGTTCTCAGTCCTCCTTGTTTCCGATTAACTTCTCCTCCTGACATCCTGACTCCCCATCAGGTCCGTGTCCACGGTCCACACCACCATCTCTCTCCACATCCTGCCATCCCCTCAGCCTCACTGCTATAAAGTCTGCACCCACAGCCGGCGGCGGCGCAGGAGCCTGGTGGCGTCTACGCTTCCTGAGCTGCTGGAGCAGGTGAACATGGAGGTTCCTCTGGGATGTTCCACCTTTAAACGCTCCGCTTTACTGGCTTCTTCTCTTCCATGGTGGCGTGTCCCAGGCAGCGAGGGTCTTCATGCTGTCTTGCTGTAACCTCCTGACTCTGGTCCTGGAGGAGGACGGCACTGTGGTGGACTCGGAGGAGTTCTTCCAGTCGCTGCCCTGTAGCACTACGCTGATGGTTCTGGATAAAGGGGAGATGTGGAGCCAAAGTAAGGTGAGACTCTTCAGCTAGAAACAGCAGACAGACCAATGAAGGCTGATTTAACTGGAACTAGACTGTGAGCAGGGGCGGATTTAGGAAATGTGGGGCCCTAGGCAAAGACAGGCAGGGGGCCCTCTGACCTGAGAAGACAATACATAAAACAGACTCATTATACAGATAGAGAAATGTTAATAGAATAGACATCCATTATCTGTTCTAGGTTGTGTCCCTCTCTTCTTGTCCCTTTTCTTCTTGTTTTCCTCTCTATGTTTTGTACTCAGCTGACTTTTCATGCTGTCTCTAAAGGAATGAAAGATTTTTTCCAAGCACTAAGCTCACTTAGCTGATTGCTCCTTCCTGTGTTTCCAAAAAGTAAATAACCCAGTCCTTCTTTTCACTGTAGACAAGCCATGATCTGCTTATCTGTTCTCCATTTTTCATTTGGATGAAATAATAGCTGCATGAATCATGACAGCAGACAAGATAGAGGGGAGCAGGAGGCGGGGTTACCAATCTACTCGCTCTGGAGAGCAGAGTTCGCTGCTTTTAGATGTTGTCTCCAAAGTCTCCAGTAGCAGAAAAAAGTCTCTAGATTTGGCGCTAGGAGCTTTTTAGAAATCGAAGTGCTAGAGGGGTCTGAAAAGTGGCTAAATATAGCGACTAAAGCGCTAAGTTGGCAACACTGCTCTTTGCATGGTTTGTTTTCAAATGGTTTGCTGCTGTCTGTTTGGACATTTCTGAACATGTGCAGCAAATGGACTGATCCAATATGGTGGACACTGAATCTTATTATAGATTTGCTGTAATAAGTGCTGTAAAACCTGACGTTATCCAATTAAAATTGTCGTTATCAATTGAACGCCAACGTTAGCTGTGTGTGTCGCTCATTATTAGAGTGAACTTCGCTCTCGTTCACCTCCATTACTTCAAAACTGATCCGTTCACTAAAAACAGGAACGTATTCAGTGAACGCCGTTCATGCATAACACTGATCATATTAGTAATATTATTTGTGCAAAGTAAATATAAGGATATATAAAATAATCTAATATGAGGATCCTTTTATAAACTGCACCATTAAACCTTGGAGTTGAGAAGTTCAGCGGCTGCCCTGCAAAAAGGAAAATAAATATTCCACTTCCTGAATGTGGAATAGCCTGTCCTGCCTGTGCACCAGAGTTAAAACTGTAACATGATGCGTTGTGCTGCGCGACAACGAGATGGGTCTTAACCTGTGTGCATGGCGGATGGCGAGTCACCACCCGGTGAGAGCTTCATTGTTCTACTAGGAAGCCTACTCTACAGACCAATGCTGTTGGATTATTTCTTTATCCAGCTGGAGGGTCTTTGATTGGCTGTATGAGAACATTTTTCCTTTTTTTTTTTTTTAAAGCCCCTGTCACGCCAGCATATGTCTGACGTACGGAATATCCACAAAAACTCTGGCATACATTGGATAAGTTATGGGTATGTTTTGTATAAGTTATGATTAGGGCTGGGTATTTTCGCCAGAGTCCTGAATTGATTCGATTTTGATTCATAGGGTTCTAAATCGATTAATTTCGATTCGATATGTTTTTACAATAATGAAAGTGGTTCAACTGTGTTTCAAAACACTCATGTATTTTATTTTTTCCAACACAAAGTGAAAACTTGTAAATCGGACAGTTTAAACTTGAGATGTGAAAAAAAAAAAAAACTGTCTCAAAAGTGCAAACTTGTTTGTGAAAAGTGAAAAAGCCTCACTGGAGCAAGACATGCCTGAGCTGCATTATCTCCAATGCACAAACCATATTTGCAGCGTTGTCTGTAGCAACTACAGGGTGTTTGCTGGTCAGCCTCCATTTGTTAATGTCTTTAATCAACCTATCCGCTATATTTGCATCTTTGCTGCTTATTTGAATGTGAACGTCACGCTCGTCACTGTAAAACTAATCAATCTTATTCCCTAGACATCGATTTTGCAAAAATGTATTGATTTTTTTTTTTACCCAGCCCTAGTTATGAGTGCGCTGAAGCACGCTGCCCCACTTCGACATACAGCATGTACATCCCGCTGTATGCCAGAGTATGCCATACGTGGGCCATAAGTTCCAGGTCAGTTATCTGATGGTTGACATTTGTTAAGTCTAAGTTACTCATCAGTCGTGGCGTCTAGCTGATCCTAAACCTCTGAGTAACTTGTGCATAACGTATCTGACGTGTTCCAGACGAGCGCTGAACGTGTTTCTAACTTCCAGCTACTGTATAATGGCGTATTGGCAGCGTTTTGGTATAAAGGGGGTTCACAGGAGGAAACCGTCAGTTCTCCTCCAGACTTCATCCCCATCATAGGGTGAGCCAGAAGGTGAGTGATGGATCCTCTCTGCGTTCACGCCCACCACCAACACACTTCCTAGCAGACATGACGCTCAATCTGCTGCCACCGAAAACCTGCTTTTTTTTTTTTTTCTTTCTTTATTTCTTTTTTTAAACAGCTAGGTTATTACTGTGATCAAAAATAACTCTTTTGCCCCGTAAGCAAACTGGCTTGTGCATCATTTCCTGGGCATTACGCTGCTGTGCGTTTTGCAGAAGTTTCGTCGTTGGACATTGGTTCTGGACTCGTTATATCTCCAAAATTGAAAAAAAATACACAGAAAGTTCAGTGTTTGCCAGCATTTAATTAATTTTTTTTTATTTTAACAATGTCCTGTCTGGCAATGTGGCAATAAGAATAATTGTCTTGATGCCAAAACGAGCTGAAAAGATTTTACTTTCACTAGTGGAGCAGTACGGCTATCGCCATAGTGTTCCGCTTGATTTATGCATATAAATAACTTTTATAAATTTCATGCAGGGAGTTTTACAGCTTATAACGACACTGCAATGGGAAAGTAAAACAGGAAAGGAATAACAGGAAAAAAAGGAGAAAAGATGAAAGAAAGGGGAGAGAAAAAGGAGACGATAAAACATCTTAAGTCTGCTTCATCACCTGCAAAGAGATGTAAAAAGAACAGCACAGCCAACCAACATGGACAAGACATACAATCAAGTAACACCTAGATACTATCGCTGATGTATAAGTGGTATTATTTAATCTGACATATACTCTGTGTAACCTGAAGATTAGATATGCCAGAATTTTAGACGATTCTGGGACGTCAGGCACATACTGGCTAAATCGTCAAGGTGTGACAGCGGATTAAGGACATGTTTGAACATCCAAATACAGCTCTTAAATTAACTAATGACTTTCTTATTGAAAGGACTTATTATGTTTGTTTGTATATTATGGGGCAGAGCAGCTGGTTTTGTTTCTTAGATAAAGGCGGCTTGTGTGTGTTTGTGAAACTATTCAGAAACAAGAGATGCTATGAGAGCCCAAAGTTAAATTATAAAAGGATTTTCAGTTTTTATACATTTTATTAATCAAATAAAATTAGTTTTAATTTGAAAACCAAACTTGGATTGGCTCCTAGATGGGATAACAGAATGCTGCATTCTTCAGCTCTTCCAGCAGGTGGCAGCAGGTCCAAAGCATCTCAGAGATCAGGTTCACCTAAATTGTGCTTTAAGTATCTGATTAGGTTTTATTTTCTAAACTTTTCAGGTTCTCCCAAGCTTCCGAGAGCCGAAGAAGAAAGCGATTGCAAAGCTGACCTTTGACCTTTATAAAGTGCACCCTAAAGACTTCCTGTGCTGCCTGGCTGTCAGAGCAACGCTGTACGAGGTCTACACGCTGTCCTACGACTTCAGATGCACTCGAGTCAAACACGTCCTCAGGTGGGTCCAGCTGAGGAGGACATCTGGTTCTGTTTGGATCCTAGTTGGACCCGCCTCTCCTCCTGAGGATCCAGACTAATCCGGTCGTTCTGATGATGCATCTCTGTGTGTTCAGGTCCGTCCTGCGCTGCATCACCTGTCTGACCAGAATCACCGGGCAGCTGCTGCTCTGCACGTCCTCCTCACTGCTCCAGTTCACCACAGACGATGACGACGGCAGCTAGAGTCCTCGTTAACGCCAGCGCCACCCTGAGGCTGGATGGACTCCTCCGCATGTTTGGGGCTCAGGCTGATTTATGGTCTTTCTGCACAGAGAGCCTGTTTAACGCTAAACCTCAGAGTTTAATGTGCTTAGATCAGGAAAAGTGATAGTTTATCATTTGTCCAAGGTTTTAGATTTGATTTGCTTTAGATAAACAAAAAAACAAATTTTTTTTTTTATAATTGTTTGACTTTGTGAATGAAAAGTTTGAATAAAGACTAGTTTATTTAAAGCGATTTGTCAGTTTTGCCTTGGAAATAGACTGGTGACCTGTCCAGGGTGGACCTGCCTCTCGTGACAGCTGGAGAAAGACACCAGCACCCCTCACGGATGTAAGTTTTGGAGTTTTTTTTTTTTTGGGACAAGCTAAAAAGAAACCAAACATATCAAGAAAAGCTGGAAGGATATGGAGTAAAACGCCAGAAGTCCAAGAGAGGGAAAAGATGACTGATCCTTAGAAAGGCAGCAGAGCAGGAATCTGAATCCCTCCCCCGGCTGCAGGAGGAATCCATTTGCTCCCACAGACTCGCTGCATCACAGACGGATTCCTGTTTCATTGCTCACGGCGTGCCGTAAACCGATCTCAGTGCTGACCTCTGCAGCAGCTGACTGATCCCTCATCAGCAGGAATGTTCGCCTCCTGGTATCCTTCCTCATTAATCATCCAGTCACTGAAGTCAGATTCAATTTCAAACACTTTTCTACATTTAACAAGCAAGAAAACAATATTAACCATATCTGACATTTTACTATAACATAATACAACATGTAGGTGATTGTTATTTCTGGGATGTCCTCAGTTTTAAGGGAAAACCAATTTTTAATGTCTCTATATAGTTTAAAAGAAAAGGGACAGGAAAAAAAATATTAATGGATTAATTTGGAGATTAACAAAAGGAGCAGCATTTTAAATTAAATTTAAATCTTTTGTGCAATAATTCTGCCACTGGGTAAATATTGAGATTTTAAAGTGATTCTCTAACAATTGGTGCGCGTGGACAGGGTGTGGCCTCATGAAAGCAGCTGTGAGGAGCCTATATAAGCGACTACAAGCGTCCAGAGCTTCACATTCACCCACTCGGCAGAGAGACACGCAGGGACATCATGAGGGAAATAGTCCACATCCAGGCGGGACAATGCGGGAACCAGATCGGCACCAAGGTTTGGATCTAATTCTACTTTCATTTAATAAACCAGCGACACTTTTACTGTTTATTTTCACTCTGAAAGGCTTTTCTTATTTATGTTACTTATATTCATTGTCATTCTGATTTGGTTTTACAGTCACTTAAAATAGATTCAACCTTTTTTAAATTTAATGTTTCAAAGATCAAATAAATTTAAATAGTGTTTTTATATGTTCGCTTTTAAATGATATTGTATTTATTAATCCATCATTAAATGGTGCAGATTGAAGGTGTATTTTTAAATCCTTTCTCTAAATGAAGAGTCTTTAAAAACCTAAATATTAGATCTAATTATAAATAGTTTTCTCTAACATTTAAAAATGTAATTTCTTTTATCTTCTTTTATTTTCCTGCACATTCTCCTGTTTTTAAGGACCTTCCTGATCCCTGAGCCAATAAAAACCCTGTTCAACCAATCAGAATTAGTCCTCAGATGTTAAAATTACTGATTAAATTAACTTAATTTAATTAATGGAACTTTTTCCATTCAACACATCTTTTCTAGTTAAATGAAATCAACACAATTTTATAAAACACTTTTAAAGGAAAATAATAGAGACACCAAATTTGACTCTGGTTGATTAAACTTAATAAAATCTGATTCTGTTGACCTAAATTTGTCCCTGCATTGAATTAAGTTATATTCAATTAACTCATAACATTTAAATAACCCAATGAAAAATTAATTGGTTTTTCAACTCAGTTGTATTTAAGAACAGAAACGGTTTTAAAGGAAAAGTCCGGTCTGAGGAATAATCAATGGATCATTATTTATACCTAAAACTAATACATTTGCAGTGATTTTTATTTTTTTTTTAAGATTTGTTTTATTAACAAAAGCGTTTATAAGATATCTATGGTGTAAAGCAAGCATTTACAGTTATACTAAAAACCGTATTTTATAAAACAAACCTATTGATATATATAGTCTTACAGACACAGAATACAAGGAAGACGATTTTTGATTTTTAACACCAGAAGAAAACAACAAAACAAAATATAACAAACTTTTCCCCTCCCACCCCCCCTTCTCGTATAGTTCTCTATATCTTTTAATTTCTGTACACAACACATCCATCTGAGCACATTAGTCTCTGTATAATTCACACTACTTCTATCAAGGTACATAAGTGAGGAAGTTTTATAAGAAAAACCTGCAAAGGGCTAATTTGAAGCAAGTCCCGAAACCGCAGAATGTCTGTCTTTTTTTTTTTGCTCTAACTTTATATAATATATTTTCGTGTGTGCAGTAAGATACAAGCTCATTGATCCAGTGTCTTACTGAAGGTGTATTTTTGGATTTCCAGTTAACCAGGATATATTTAACAATCGCGATGATTCAATGAATTTAGCGTTAATCAGTAAAAAAAATAAAAAGAATACATTTCATTGCGATCACTGAGTCTGGGAGCGGCCATTTTTGCCCATATATAGTAGCCCCTCCCTCCTGCCATCTTCCAGCAGTGACGTCACCGTGCGGTTAGCCTAGCGCCATTCTCCCCGCTTTCCAAGCTAAATCAATGGGAACTACTAGACACATCTGCAATCAACAACAATTATTGAAGATTTCCAGAGGACTTCACCATTGAAATTCACCAGAGCTATAGTGAAACTGACAATGCCCACGTGCATGGCAGCTGGATGCTGGAATACATCGGGTAAAAGTGAAAAAAAGAGTTATTCCACCTTTCTGATTCCTGATCCTCCACGGACGGGTTGGTCGTTGGATCGCCAACTTGAAGAGGGAGGATTTGCCATCGAACTTCTGGCCAGAGAAAAAACCCGTAATATGTAGCCAACATTTGGAAGAAGAATGTTTTCAAGATGACTTGGATAATAGCGCGTTGTGACAAACACCAGATACAGCACTGGGACTTGATCAACAGCCGATACCGCACCGTGACAATGTCACTAACCAGTAGGTGGCAGTAGTGTTCTTTGACAAACATGGATGCCTCCAGTAAAGCACATTCACATGAAAATTACTCTGAATTAAAAACACGGATCATTTGTTGCACGGCTGCATTATATTTTTTCAGTGAAGGAGACTCTTACAGAAAAGGAAAATCTTTGAAGAATCCAGAGAGTTTCTCTCACAAGTAGGAGCATGGGCGTAGGTTTGCATAGGGACCATAGGGACATGTCCCTACCAAGATTTTGAACCGACCTAATTGTCCCGACCAATAATTGGATGTGAGCAACATGTTTATAATTTCCAGCAGTAGTTGTTGCAGCAGTGGCTTCTTTTCCTCTCGCAGCTCCTCTGCCTGGTCTCTCCTGTCCCTTTCATGTAGCAGCGCATGGAACTGCTGCGCTGTTTAACTCCACTCTCATTGGTTGTTCTGCCTTAAGTTCCGCCTTCTCTCTCTCTGATTGGCTGTTTTCTAGTCCGCGTGTGCTTGGAGCACAACATTGAAAATGTATTCACACTAGAATGCAGCGGTTACTACAATTAATATTAGGCTACAAAACTAGTCCCAATAAAAAAAATGAATATCATGTACACTAAAAAACAAAAACCTTTTTTTTCTTTTATAAAACGAAATATTCTGGGTCAGCCAGGAGTTCTGAAGACTGCTGGAAAAATGGGCAAATAAAGGCTGTAAGCCATCAATATTTCTGATTCTTAGCCACAGCCAACTAAAAAAGAAAATGTGAGGATTTCCTTTTTACCGATATTAAGTTGATATTACTGTTTTCATTTTTTTTTTTTTTTTTTTTACAATTTTGATATAATAACTGATCTAAGTGGGTTGCTCTGTGGGGAAAGGCACATTTACATTTATATTACTGTATGTTTTAAAGTCTCTATACTCCAGTTAATGATGAATCACATACTAAATTAGTTGACGATTATTGAAATATTCAATTAATATGATTCATTTTTTTCAGCCCCAGATGAAATACATGAAATGGGCTACACAGAGTAACTACAGCCCAGATGTTCCACTTTTATAGTGAAGTTAATATTTTAATGAATGTATTATTTTGCTTGATACAGAGAGAGAATAGTAGGTAAAAATATAAGAGTGGGGTTTAACTCTGCACAATTCTATATCTTCAAAAGAAAATACTGTATTTACCTTCTCTCTTAGTCGTTCAAATGAAACCGTTTTCAAAGTGGAAAACAGTCCTAATTCCACATTGATCAGAGCCGGTGATGCTTCAAACATTGATAAACAGCATCTAATGAGTGTAGAGCTTATAACATTTTTATTAATGGAGCAAAATGTTGCTTTTCTCTTTTAACAATGAATTCCTCTTATCAGTACGGATGCTCACATTGAGCATAAAAAAGGGCATGCATATTGCATAGCACCAATGACACCAGACCAATAGTGTCCCTACCAAAGTTCAAATCAAACCTACGCCCTTGAGTAGGAGGGATCAAACTGTTACTTTGCCAAGTCTGTACGGAGTTACAAAGTGATGAGGTGGAGCAGAAATCACTGCCTCCTAACTGTGTTACCATGGTGGTGTGTTCTAAGTGTGTCTGTCTAACCCAGGCCTGCCCAAAGTTGGTCCTCAAGGGCCACCGTCCTGCAGGTTTTAGAGGTTTCTCTGCTTTAGCTCAGCTGAAAGCAGAGAAAAATCTGCAGGACGGTGGCCCTTGAGGACCAACTTTGGGCAGGCCAGGTCTAACCAATGAGATGGCTGCTTACACCTGAGGAGCAGCTCTATGAGTTATAAGGTGAGAAGGGAAGACAATTTTATAAAGGATTAGATCATTATAAGTTAAAAAAGAAACTGGAATTGTAAAAAGCTAGTGCTTTTTAAAATATTTTTTAAGCTTTTAATTAGTTGTGGTTTTTAAATCTCAATTTAGACAGAAGATTTTAAAATGCAGTGTTTAATGGTGGATGAATAAATTCAGTTTACAATTGCTCTTCAACAGCTCGTACTAAAATATTGAATTACAAATTAATTTGGAATTTGGGTTTCTGATTGTATGATTTTAAATGTTAAAATTTTTCAGTGCTTCTCCTGGTCCTCCATACGTCCTGATTTGCCTCTTTAACACGTCCGATTCAAATGAGCTGAGCGTCCAAAGACACACAAGTTTA